TACTCCAGATTGTTCATTCGGCGTAAGTCGGTCTTTTATTTTCATCACCCTGGTAGCTTTGGGTCTGGGTGCAATTCTAACACCTAGTCCCGCAGCGATGCACTCCGTCGCTTCTGAGACGTCCTTGATGTATGGTGGAGCGTGACATATCCTCGTTGGTACTCCCGTTTGGGTCTTCCGGGGCCGAACGTCCTCTTTCATTCGCTTTATTATGTACACGGTTCGGGGGCCTAGGGACTAGGTAACCGCAATTGCTAAGAACTGATGTTTTCATGATCTTAGCGTGTTTCTGTGGTTTTCTGTTTTTCCCTTCATATTTTTGTCGGTTTTCATACTTCCCTTTGAACACTTTCTCAGCTGGCGGGTCTCTTTTGCCACACTATTGCGCTTTATGCCCATTTTCCACTGGATAGTATTTTGTAAGTCTGTACCTCGACCAACGATAATGTGCCAGTTTTAAGCCTTTTGGACACCAGGAAGAAGTTTGATTAAAAAGTGGCATTTCATAAAGCTGAGTTGCATTGATTACGAGGAGCTCGTTTGAAATTTTCTACCACGCTCCTAGAATGTCCTTTTGCAATTAGCGTAATATTCACGTCTTGCTTTTACAGTGAGTTCTAATTAAGCCCTCGTCGACTAAACATTTAAGTCTCATTTGACACACACACACACACAGCTCGGCCATTAACTTTCCTATTTTACTCGCACTTCTAACCACGCCCTGGACATCTCTTCCAGACGCCCCCGTCTCCAGAGGGTCATTTTTGTGCGTGTTATGTTTCTGACAGTAGTACGTTTGTGGGCGGGGTTACTGTCCACTTAAGGGCGTGTGCCTCCAGACGTTTCGTTTACTGTCTCCACAAGCAATTTCTACCCATTTTATTAATCCCGCTTCTGAGATAAATTTGCGTTGAATCCTTTGCGACAATGTTTTTCTGCAGTTACACGGCCAACCGACGGTCCAGTAGCTGACAACAAACAACTTTTAGCCGCCTAGTGCTGTCGCCTTGCTTTATGACTACGTTTGCCTTGGAGAATTTACAGGAATGCTCATGGACTCTTGCAAACGTGACCCCACACGCACCTGTCTCAAACATACCATGACTGTCAAGTTCACCTTAGGGAAAAGCCTTGTGTGTTCCGTTTTCCAGAAAGGAATAAGCTTTCTACCCCTTCTGCGGTCCAAGAAATTTAAGCTGGGATTTTTAGAATTTGACAACAGTTAGTCCACTTGTCTTTCTGAATTATATTTTCCTCTGCTTCAGTAGTCGTTGACATTTTTCACTTTTTGCTATTTGAACGTGTGCTGTGAAAATTCTTCCTCATTGATTTATTTTTAGTGCCCAGTATGCAGCCTGTGCAGTACCTCGCTTTACTTCTCTATGGCTTTTTATTCCGTTATTTACTGTTTGCACTTTTGGCGTTGCCTTATCCTACAAATAATTTGGTTTCGCCGTCAGTTTTTTACCATCTTTCTTGCTTTGTAGTTATCTCCTTATCGGGCTTTCTTGTAAGAAATAATAGTTATCATGATATACCAGGACTTTCTGCTCTAATTAACAGCGCGTTTTCATGAACTATTATAGAGTTGGTGCTCCATATCCTTGTTTCACTTCCAATATATACTCCTTCTTGTGACCTTGGTACCATCGAGGTCCATACTAGGATTTTCGGTCAATGGCCTACAACCGCCTTAGTTATGGTTATCATTTATGCCCTTACCTATAATTTAGTTCTCATTCGGACCTTCTGGTCTAATCGTTCCCATTTTGGATGAATTTTAGAAAGGCACGGGAAAATGGACGACTATATGTGGCCTGGAACGGGGTTGTCCAATCACGCTGATTGGTATATTACCTGCTACAGTAGCCTTACCAATACTGTTTCGGTTGAATTTGTTTTTCCCCACTTTCTTTCATGCTTCATTATCACTGAATGCAAAACGTATTACATGTTCTTCCGGCTTGGTCTGTCTATCGTTTTTCCAACGATTCCATGGTTTGAGGCTAATAGAGCACTGAGGTAATGGCTATTATTACTGTCATGCGTCTACTGGGAATACCGCCACTGTTATCAAGAAGTACGTGCTTGTCGAGGAATTGCTAGGACCTAAAGATGTCTTTACTTGTCGTTTCGCAGCTTTGGTCTCCACTCGAAGGTTATAAGAAATTAGAGGTTCCTTCCTTCGGCCTACTATCTACAAAACCGTAATCCTTGGCTCATGGGTTTTAAATGCGCGCCTTTAGTATTAATCTTACCAACATTTATGGAGGATCTGCATTACTTTGCCTCCTAGACTTTGTCATGAGACTCCGGATTGCTGCCTTTTTAAGTTAGCTACCCCGATCAAGCAAATAACAACGCTTTTAAGCTTGTTATCAGTGTATGGTAGCCGTCACCAAAACCTTTGTTTTCCCGCCGTTAGTCTTTCAAACATCTGGGCCCTCTGCACCATGCTACAAAGTGCAGTCACCCCATTATCGTAACTAGACACCACAGCAACGGGGCTGGATTACCTTGCTGTCTTGTTGTTGTTTGGCCGTTGAAGGAATCGACCCGCAGTCAAAGCCACCGTCCTATATCGTTCTGCCTGTTTTTAATAACTGGAACTTGGAATCGGAAAATGACATATATTATTGCTATCATCTGTTCTCTCGAGACATGAAAACTTATGAGATTTTAAAAGTATGTCCTCTTGATAACTATTCCCATTTTAATTTTGCTTTTTCCTTGCCCTTCACTCTACCGCTCATTCTTTCTTATGCAATCACAGCGGAGTCTGTTTTCGCTCGAACGCTTTCGTCTATGAAAAAGGAACGTATGGAGGCCTCCAAAGTTCTCCCAGGTCCTGCGGAGACCTCTAAAGGTTCTGAGCTGCCGAATAAGGAAAAAATTTCCTTCATTGAAGACGTTCGTCAGGTAATTCTTTTTATCCACCACCAGCTTTTATGCATTTCTTTGTATGCAATGCACTTTGCCCGATCAATATGCAACTGATTGCAAATCTTACTCCAATCGTTTATGTAATGTGGTTTAACTTGAGTCTATAACGGGCAGACCTCGTTAACGTCCTCTAACCAAGCACTTTCAGAATTTCTTTATCATTTTTAATTTGAATTAAAATTTGCTCATTTACAGGTCGAAGAATATGGAGTGTCAAGTCGACAAAAATGAACATTTTTGATAGCTTCCTTTTTTATTGAGTTTAGTAGAGTCGATGCAGTAGCTACGGGAAAATTGTTCGCCGTTTCCAGGGAATAAGACTTCGTCCTGACAAATGCTCCGCGATCTGGACGGAAGTCCGGTTTAGATGAAGATAGGCTCAATACGTTACTTCATGCATATCCCCGTTAAACAATTCGGGAATCGACTAGACAGATACATGTAGTAAATCGAAAATAGCTCGACGTCTGAAATTGGTGGGAAAGGTCCAAAAGCCGCCCACCGTTTGGATTCGTCTACTAAACTCAAATAAAGGAAAATATCGGAGATTCATTTTTATAGACCTCACTCTCCGTCCTCTTTTGGTTGTGCTATTCAAAATCTAATTAAATGTAAAAATGATAAAGAAATTTGGAAAGCGCTTGGGAAGAAGAACTAAGTGCCGTAATATAAATAAATCAAACAAAACGGCATGATATGATTTTGAGTGGTCGAAAATCACATGTACTAATGGGTTAACTCTATTCTTCCAGTTTTTAGCCTTGGAGTTATAGACTCCATCGAAGTCCTCCTTTTTTGGCGGACCAAGGATGTTTTTCGCAGAAAAAACAGCTAGGTTACGCTTAAGAAGGGCAGTTTTTCTGATCAAAATGTGTGCCTTATCTCTCTATCACGTTGACCTATGTTTAAGGACACCCATTTATTCTAGAACAAACCTAGTTCAGCTTTTCTTCATTGTGTTTCAACCGATGCCCACTTAAGCTCTCAGTGTATCTTAATGATCGTGTCAAAGGTTGCTCTCATAGATATATTATAAGAACAACCAATGCATGACCATTTTAATACTTCCCTCATGGTCATAAAGTATTTGCTTATGTCCCAGTCCACGCGATTATTCACTACCAGCGAAAATGCAAGAAAGACTTAACAGGATAAGCAGTCCATGGTGTACACCATAAAGACGACAGTTACACTGGCATAAGACAGTATAACCAAGAGGTATTTTCTGGATGCTTTAGTTGAATTTAGGGCGCTGAACTTATTGCTGCAGATTTCTCACGAATTATGATATGAGCCCACTAATAAACTGGCGTAATATGGATTGCCGCGTGTAGGAGACTTTCGGCCATCCTCCCTGACCACTGAGTAAAACTCGGACAATTCCATGTTGCCATGCAATAGTGGTCTCGAACTGTGTTTCCTCCAATCCTGGCTATCTGCCGATGATAAGCCAGTTATAAGCGGCCATTCTGGTCTACCTCGCTTGTTCTATAACCGCTGGTGTTCACTCCTGGCCGAGTTCATTCGTGCTCTGCCATAGGGTCACTCTAGGTCACTAACGGTAACTCCATTTGCTTCCCCATCAGGGAAGAAAGTTCGTAGGTGGGTTCCTTTGGTTGTCTCCTAATGAACGAATCAGGCTATCTGTTTAGTTAACTATTCATGCACTGATCAGATTAAAAGGTATTGATAACAACGCCTACTCCTAATCTTCTGCAACTTTCGCAATATAGATTGTCATCAAACCGTTATCTTTGAAGTTTTACCATGACGTACGTATAGTGCAATTTTTCATTTTGCACCCGGTAGTCAGCTCCCTTTTGTTATCTTCGCTCACCCCTAGGCTCTCTACGCCTCCAAGATAGTCTCTTATGCCCAAGGGTTTATGCTCCTTCAAAAGGCTCGTGAGGATTTTGGTTGGGAGTTGAACCTCGGTGCTATTGCCCTCATGTGGCGTGGCGGTTGCATTATCCGGAGGTAAGTTTTCCAGCCCTTCAGGTAGGGGTACACTGTTACATTCGGTACGAAAAATAGCAATTTTCCCTTAACCTTCCCTGCTACAACGTCAGAGTTCTTGCCGGATAAACCTTGTCTTCAGGTCTTGCAACCTCTCTTTTGCAGATCCCAGTAGTCAGTTTCCTTCTGTCCGGCTTAAATATCGTCAGATGGGCTGCGTCTGTTTGGTTTCACCTGACGAATGGTCCCAAGCTCTGCTGTATAAAATAGATAACGCAATAGGCAGCTGCTGATAATGCTCTTTTTCCATTAAAGCTTAAACTTCTTAGTCAGCCTGCGATTTTCATTGTCAGCCTGTTTGTAATTAAAACTGTTTTCGCCCCCCCCTCCCCCCCTATTCCTTTGCTTCAACGTACTTCAACTTTTGATTTCACGCTTGTTCGGCCGGTCATTTTGATCAGAATCAACCGAATCTAAGATAGATGGTTTTGGTCGTATTGCCGGAAAGCTCGTTGATCGTTTTAGCCACCGTGCAATGTCACCTTAATTTTGGAAAATTATATG